CAACTGGTCACCTGTTGATCGCAACCGTTCGACTTTGCAGCACGCCGGAAACAAAAACAAATTCGACGTTTCCGGTCGTAGGACCGGTCCTACCTCGCGTCATCCCTCTTTCCTTCTGACACATGATTCGCCCTGCTAATTGGACCTTTATCATGCAAATACCCTTCTTTCACGATTATCCAGCGTCTGAAGTGTATAAACAGCTGAGAAATTTTCCCTACATAAGTAGATGCTCTTCAAATAAAATTCTTTCATTTCAATTTGTCTTCTTTTTAATCATAAAAATGAATAATTCTTTCAACAGGAAGATCGATATTTTTAAGTTTCAGATTATTCTTAAGGTGTCTATATTTGCATCTCGATCCCAAGCGCAACAGGATCTCCCGTCAGGGATCGAAACGAATGATCCACTCGTCTCTTACATCTCTGTTCGAGGATCCATTTGATTTTTCTATCTTTCTTTTTCCCAGAAGCCAGGGATCGGAAATTCGCGGACGAATCAGCGATCCACCCTGTCTCTGTTGGGAATTAAGAGCGTCGTAAGAAAGTCTCGCACGCTTTAATTACCATTCAAGCCGGAGGGCCAGAGGGAGGGCTGGTTCATGCAAGTATAATTCTCTTTGGTCTCTTCCTCTCTCATTCATTCGAGACAACCTTACACGATCCCGAGCCACAGCGTGATGCGCACACGAAAACAGAAGAAAACTCACAAGGGAAATGTACATACTTTGCTTATCACTTACTATTCCTTCCTTGTCTTTTATTTATTCGATTCGATTTCTCTTGATATTCCTCTTCGCCGACTTTGTTTACAAACTCGAAATTATTAATTAACATTAGATTTTATGTAGATATTCTTGAAAAAATTCCTTCTTAAAGTAACCCCTAAGTTTTCCACGCATACTTAATCCATGGGTCTAAAATGTCAGACAGTGAAATTAAGAGGATTTTTATTAAAAACAAGTCGATGTTAAACGAATGTTGACCAGCTCGCGTTCTAGCCGCACGCGAATCCGTGCATGCGATACATTGCAGTGAACGAGCGGACACCAGCTTCGCGGACGACCCATTTAACGCGAATGTATGTATCTATGTACATACGTGCACATACCGGCGTAGAGCAGGCAGTTCTGCTATTTAGCGAAGTATAGTTACAGCCGGTACAATGACACCGACTGGAATCTCGAGATAAACTGCATTTCACCGTAGACCAAATGGTAGAACATGGAAAAATTGCGAACGAACCTCTCTGGTTAAATCTCGATCCTCTCTTGATAATTCGTACGTGTCTCTGGTTTAGTGAGTATTAAACGGTGGGGTCATCTTGGTCACGTTCCGTGATGCTGATGTTGTACCATCGCGAACCATCATTTTTTCTTCTAATATTACCCTCCCCTTTCGTATAACCGCGAAGGGTTAAAAATTAAATAATTGCAATATCTCAAGGATCGTAGGTTGCATTAAAACACGGTACCACCTTGCAATGTATTATCTTTCGTCTTTTTGGACAATTTTATCTTCTCGATTTTTGTCACCATTTTTACCCCGGATGCGATATGGAATACATGCAGAACGAATGAAAAGATCGTGTATCTATATTTAACTTTCCAGATGCATGATATTAAAGCTCTCGTTTGAGCTTTAACGACCCTCGTTGAATTTCCAACGAATGTAACTCTGTGACCCGCGAATGGGTTTCAGTTTCGAGATCCACTGATGCTCCCGCGAACAAAGTTCAACGGTTGAATGAAATGTTGAGGCTTCCGGGTTTAAGACAGCCCCTCTTCGAGGAGTGTTCCGACGTTTCGCCGGCACTGCGGTTAGTTTCATCGGGATCTGGGTTATAGCGCGTCATCGGGCACCCTGATGGAACCAGCTGCAATGCAGACGGAAACTCGAAATGGATACTCCGGAAAGAAATCATTCTGCATAGGAAAAATCCGAGCTAACGTATCTGTTCTCGACTACTTTCGAAAATATTATTCAAAAGAAGAGCGCGACGTGTCAATTAAAATTGTCTTTGTCCAAGTCGTTTATTAGTCGAAATCGTTCGGCTACGCCGAGCTACGTCGAAATTGCATCCAAAGTCAACACGAGTTCGCAGACTCGTTGGTAATTCAGGAGAAAGATAGAAGAAGAGTGTGGAGGCAGCGATTTCGAGCGGAGGAAGGAGGATCTTTATTACGCGTGCACGAGGAAGAGGTATACACGATGACGATGCGGGACGGAGGTTGGCTGCTCGCCAGCAAGAGATCTCATCCTTTTCCTGGTTGTTCCTATTCACCACCCTCCTCCCGCAACCCCGATCTCCCTATTCTTCCCTGTTGCCCATTCTTTCGTAGTCGATATCGAGAAGTCGCGGACGGCGATGACCTGGCGTTTTTATTCCTACCAGTTTCCGGCTAATTTCGATTAAAGTCGCGATTCTATGACCGAGGGTAATCGACGATCAAATGGATGTTTAATCATAATGTGTGAATGTAAAAAAAGATTTTTAATTTCTTAATAAGTGCCCCACTTCTCTAGTTATACTACTGACCCTTTCAGTATTATAGTTGTTTAATTGTAAAAGCATATAATGGAAATTTAGGTATTTTTCAGAATTTTTCCAGCGATAAAAATACCTGATAGGTAACAAAGAAAAAGAGAGGATGAACATGGAGGATTCGAAGCGATATCCTCTAGTTGCATCGGGTCAGGCAGCACAGAATTGGCGGTGATTTAAATTGGCTGCCCTCTCGACCTGCCGTTTAACCTATTTACCGCCACGCTTCTGAATACGCTCTTCTCTTCTTTGATTTTTTTTCTTCCTTCCATCGTTTCCCCGAACTTCATTGCCTGTCACTCCCATTTATCCTCTTTGTAGCGGAGCCCGAGGTTTTTAACCTTTTGCCCGAAAAGGTAATCGACGAACCCGTAGGAACACGCTTGCTTTTCTATTCGATTATCGAGTAATTTATTCATTCATTTAATCAATAGACTAAACGATTGCCTAATTTTGATTTTCCAAGAATCGTTGAAATTCCATCGATACACCTTCGGATATTATTTTTGGGGTTGTAAGTTGGCCTGTTCTGTATTACAGAAATAATCGTACGCTAATTAGGGTGTCACGTGTCGAAGCTAGAGAAGGGCGGGGGCGACGTTTAATCGAATTAGAGTAAGGCACTCGAGCGTGGCACGGAGAAGGGTGCTCGAATGGAAACCCGCCCTGAGCGTGGATGGTGTTTCGATCTGTTTTGTCTCTGCTTTGTCCCCGACCCTCCATACGTTCCGGCCGGTAATCAATCTCGTCTTCCGTTCGACTTCGACCCTGTTCCATGTTTTCCAGATATTTTTTAATCGAACCTCGCTGTCCACCGCTTGTCCGATGGACAAAACGCGTCTGGGTCTCGGTGACAGGGAAATTTTCACGAAAAAAACTAGAAAAACTCTACTACCACCTACGTACTGTCGTTTGAAAATTAATTGGATCTCTTGGCTGAGCTTCGAATTAAATTGGAAAATATTTTTCCCACGAATTTTCGATCGAACAAGAAGTCTTAATTATGCGAATTTAGAAAAAATTCTTAATTTTTCATCCGATACCCCGAGAGTTCGCCGATGACAAGAATAAATGATAAACGTGGCGAAATCTAGAGCGGTTCTTTCAATCGTGTTTCGCTCCGTACGACGACGACGCTCCACGGTTATCTGGGTCATTCGTGCGACCTAACTTGCACCCGTGTGTATGTTCCCACTTATACACGACGGATAATGCGCGTGCATGCCCGCGTTTCGACCAGCGTTGCACTATGCTGCAACAGTATTCGTGTGTACGGGTGTGTAAACGATCGTAAATCGGCGATCGAGACACACCGTGTACGTTGGATCGTGTACCTCGTAGCTTTCGCGCTTTGCAATGTTACCTCGTAATGATTCATCCTGCGTTTCCGTGATACTCCATTTTCTAGATACCATGGTACCACTTTTCAAATAGAAAAATCATGCATATGATTCTGAGACAGGGCTGTCAAACAATCTTTTAACGCAAGTGTGCATTTTATTAATTACAGGCTAGATACTTCAATCAAAATAGATAACATTATCACAATAAATTTCTAAGATTGACGAGTATATCTTGCCAATTTGAATTAGAAATCAAAGTTGAAACTCAACCATGAATATCTACTACTTTGCACTTCGTTGATACCCATCAATCCTCGCCAATTTGAGGCTAGTCCATTCAAAACGCATATATCAAAATCGCAAACCTCTTCTTACGAGCAGATTGCAGTGTATCCGGCACGAACGTGCGCATAAGTGCACACCGGAATGCTCGACGTAGCTATGGTGCATACTTAGCGGTGCATGTGTGCCGAACGCACACGTATGCACGCGCACGCGCGTCCACCACACGCAGGCACGCATGCACGCAACCGTGTGTACCGAACAGAGACAGATGATAGGATCCGCGAGAGAGGTTTACGTGTGCAGGCATGTGCAAGCGCAAGGTCGAACCGGGGTTGGGAATTCGGATTGCCAAGGGTTCCCACCCCTTCGTTATTGCACCAGAATTCTGACACTACCTGAACACGACTGACCGAGAGAGACGGACAACGGCAGGTCGAACGGGAGAGAAGGAGAGAAATTATTCCTCGTCTCGTTCCGTCCCGTGGTATCCTTCGGGAATACCTACCGGGTGGGTAGGCAGGAACCGTGGTTCTCGAGGAAACCTGTTTGCTGATGGGGTGGCTGTAAGGATGAAAGGTTTTCTTAATGAGAATGATATCGAGTGGAATTGTTTCTTTGTATAGAAGTGTCAGACGGATATGTTGATGAAGATGTTGAGGAACGATCAAGGTTTCATTGGAGAGATTTTGTGTTTTGTAAGTTTCAGGAATTTTTTTATTAATTGAAGATGTAGGGTGAGAACCAAGGTTTCTTTCTTAAGATTTTCCCTTTTGTGAAGTTTTTATAAGGAGAATTGTTTAAAGTTTCTTTTTCAATTCTGTTTTCAGGTGACTGAACGAGGTTTCCAGAGATGAAAACCACTGGGATCAGCCACGGAGGACGAACCCTAACACAATTTCACGAGGATCACCCGTTATATACCCAGACCGATCTGTTCGCGTAATATTATAGTCCGGTGAACAGTAATCTGGGTTACGCCCTCCCCTCGATTCATAAGAACCACGCGTTAAAACGGGAGAGATCGTGATTTCTCTCCTACCATCTCTTTCTCTCTTTCACCTCTGTTTCCTCTTCTCTACTATCTCCTTTCCTAGCTTTCCTTTCCTTTTTCTTTCGACTTCATTTTTTCTTTTCATTCTCATCCCCCCAAATTATGTCATCGTTCACTATCGTCTCTATTAACTTTGGAACGCTGTTTAAATTTTATTTCAGACTGGTTCTCATTTTCATTTTCAAAATTTGAAACTGTACGGTTTTAGATTTTCAGAAAACTTTTCCTACGCATATTTCTTACGTTTCAGTGAATTTTTCCTACGCTCATTTTTGCTCCTTAGTTACAACGTCCTGCTTGAACGAGCGAGCGAAACGAACGCTTTGCATTTGCTTCCTCCGAGAAGCGAATTTTTTTATCCTACAACGTTCTACTTCGCTCTACTCTACTTTTTTCAACCGTGGTCCACTTTCCCGCGTTAATTCTGGATTTACGAGCGTCCGTTCGCCGGTGTAACACGCGTTTCGCGAACCTGACGATTCCTTGTCTCGCAAAATTACCTGCAATATTTTAAGGACCCAAAACGTTGCAAACACCAATTGTGTTTTCATTCAATTTTTGCCCTTTGCTTCGTAAACGTTCAAATTACGCATTTCCCTCCGTTTTGTTTGCAGAGACGACGGGACCTGACCCAGCAAATTTTATTGAGTAAATCAAGGTCGAGCAAATTAAGAGGAACATACGGTGCCGTTCGGATGGCCGGGATCTCTCTGTCGTGACGCAGAAAAATCAAATTAAACAGCCGCTTTTAAGTCGAATTAAAACGAATGCGCTTAATTAAAGCGGCCTCCGCCGCTGAACTAAAGGAGTTTTATTGACGTCGAGCTGCTCCTTTGTCGGTGCTACATGTACCCTTTCATTATTAACTTAAAAGGTGTCCACCTTTTTTCCTTTCTTTCTCGGTTTTGATCGTAAATAAAGGCCAAATGTTATGGCAGATTCCTATGTTTATGGATGAACACCTTTTGCGGATAAAAAATAATGTATCCCGTTAATGACTCAATAAAGAACTTATTCCTTGAATTAAAAAAAAATATATATGATAGAATATACTGACAGTGATAAAATGGATTAAAAATTTCTAATACCTTAATTTTTGCAAATTAAAAATATAGACAATCTAATAACGAATTGATCTGGTAGAGCATCTCTCAGGACACATATGTTGAAGATTCTACCAAGTATAGACAGAAAAGCGAGCGGATATCACAAAAGGAGCTAACGGAACCACGTTCGCCGGATAAAGACGAACGTTAACGGTGCCTGAGGTTTCACCGCGCTAAATACACGCCCGACACGTTTCCCTCTCACTCGTCGTGTTAACGTCGATCCCACGCCGACCCAGACCCTCTTTCTCTCTTCGTCGCGATGCTGTCTGCCGTGAAAAGAAGCTGCCATCCCGAGGAAAAGAGACCTCTGGCTCGCTGAAAATCCCGTGAAAGAGAGAAGGCTAGGGGAGAAACAACCCTCCTCTTTTCACTGTGGGAATTTCTAATTGCGCGCCAATGTCCCGACCGCAGAGCAAGGGGAACACTCTCGTCAGGGATCAACAATGATGATCAACTGTTACTATTACGGATACGGGACACCGATGAATTAGCTTCTTATCAACCTATTAACCCCTTCGCTTATAATTTGTTCGATAATTGCGTCAATCAGAGCTAACTATTCGTTCAAGACTCATAGCGAAACTATCAGCCAGATTTGATATTGATCTGAACTGTAAGTTGTGTTACGAGTGTGACACGATATGTAGGGAAAAGGGTTAATGAGCTACTATTTGTTATTAACCCTTGGATGGCGGACCATGGAGAGACACCAATTTCAATTTAATTTTCTACGTAACTATAATCCTTAAGTAGCGAAAGGGTTGAAGCTTAGATTGAATAAATGAATTTTGAAAAAAATATATCCAGGACAAAGTTGAGCAAGTAAGATCTTCCTGTCTGGAACATCAACGAGTTGCATCTCGCTATCAGCGAGAAACGAGGACGAGCATGTGCTCGTTGATTTAGCGTCGTTTCGCTGGAACAATGAGACGGCCACGTCGAAAACGCGGTTATTTAATACAGATATTTTTCATAAGTCGTATTGTGTGCAAATGTTAGCCCTTCTCTTTCTTTCTATACCTTGTAAACGTGCGCGCGCGCACGCATTCACAGCCTGTCCGTAATTCGCAACGCGTGTATCCCCGCGAGGCGCGCCGCGTGTTAATAAATCTCGTGAGCGGTCGCTGGAGAAGAGACTGTAAGAAAAACGAAGAAAAAGATCGACCAAGAATCTCCGGGACGAAGAAACGAGCGAACAGGCCTCGCCGCACACGAAGGGTGCGCAAAACGACCGGCATCGTTTGCGTTTCCTCGATCGGTTCATTAATGTCCTCCCCCCGTAATTTCAATGGTACCCAGCGTGACGCGAGAGACAGCCTTCCTGTCATCGAAGGAGATTTTTATCGAAAGTTGAAATTTTTGGAAATTTTAGTAAACAACCATGAGTTCCTAATATTATCATTAGAACGAAATTTCGTTAACATATAAAAAAAGAAATTGCAAAGAAATCGAGGATTTGATTTTTCTCGCGTGAGAAACGAAGGTACAGGTTTTGTCTTTAAACCCGTCTAGGGATGATTCGCAGATTCATGTGTGAGTGACATGTGTCACAAGGTGTGTCGAACCCTTATTTAGAGACGCATCAAAAGTTAGCCCACTTCCAGTCACACATACACGGGCACCAACCACCAGAATACTGGCCCCCTCTTCTTCATTGTGCTCTTCTAATACGGACATTTTTTTTTTTTTCTTCTTTTGTCTCGTTCCTTTTTTTCGTCTTCTCCGATGGTACGGAAACGGGAGCGTAGAGGATTTCGAGACACAATGCAAGCGTAATTGGCAGTCACCGGATGCTGAGAATTGGCTGTTTCCCATGATTCCGGAATTGCCATTCATTTGAGGATCTTAATTTTCAATGAAACTCGAGAGATTCTGTATCCTCGAATAGTTTTGTCAATCTCTCCTGTCTTACAAGTATAATTAGAATTAAAATCAATTTAACGGGGTCACCTAATTCCGTCCCGATAAATTGAACCTTTTCCCTTGGACAGGGCAAACAAACGCGGAACTAACTTACCCGCGTCGATACAAATCGAGTTTAAACGATACACGCGTTACGCTCGAAGGAGTCTCGATTCCCCCATCTCGAAATCGCGGCGATCAGGCATTCGAACGGTGGTAATCGTGAATAGGAATCCCATTCGAACCCTCGGAACACCGTCGACAAATAAATACAAACGATGAAATGTGCGATCCATTTACGAATTACTAAATAAATCTAATAATCCAATGTTTAAAAAGAGATAAAATTTCTATTTGCAAGATTTAACCTAATTTTTACGAAACATTGGCTATAAATCCAATGATACGAAAGAAATACCAAATAAAAGTTTTAGAGCGAATAAACCATAATCGTTAAGAAAGTCGGAAAGAAATCATTAAAGAATGTTCTACAATTGCTACAGGACTAATTTTCCTGAGATACATTGCAAACAGCCCATTATCGGCAGCAAAACGAGGGTGCCTTTACGAGTGGCGTCCATAAATCGCGCGAGACCTCGCGAAACCCTCCTCGGCGACAAATAAACACGCTCGAAACGGCCCTTCGAGTTGTTGTACCGACGTTGAAAAGTCGATTCATCATGGTACACGAAACGGAAGACTCGAGAAAATTGTGCGATTTAAGAGGAACATCTAATGGAGTCGAAAAGAATACAGAATAGCAGAGTTTAATTTCACGTGGAACGATAAGAAAAACTGGCTTTTTCAGCTGTTTTTATCAAGAAGCTTTTCATTGTTCAAGCACAAAGCATCGTTGCGCTTTTGTGAGTCTATCTTAAGATCGTGCTTGTATCTTTTGTCTTCAGGAATAGACAATACCAAGATAAGTAGCGCTGCTTCGTGACCGAAGTGTTAATTTCACATGTTTTAGTAGATGGCTGATGGAAAGTGCATCTGTTCTTAATATTAATACTTTGATGGACTTATATTTTGTAGGATCTATGATTTTTGCGATTGTGTATCAAGAAATAAAGGAATTTTTAAGAAAATTTGCCCTAAGTTAAATTTATACTTAACCCTCGGATGGCGGACCTTGGAGAGAGAGTCACAATTTTAATGTAACTTTAATTTTCTAAATTTTACACTACTCTTTGTAAAATTGATATAAAAACAATTTAATTATAACGAATGTTAACTAAAAATAAATCTCCAAGTATCGTTTTTATTTTTTGATTAAGTTAACTAACGTCGATCAAGGTTCATGCGATCCTAACCCACGTGGCCATTATTTCGCTCGAGTCCGTGGCTCGTTGCTTTTCGTCCGCGTCACATGGGTGCCCCGTGGGTCACCCGGTATATCCTCGTTCTCATGTCGATACTGTTATCGACTACTAAAAGATAATCAGCCACTCGAGTCGAGTGGGCGTGCGACCGGCTGCATCGTCGCGGAATTTATTCAGCTGTCCCCAAATAGCGTTGCAATCCAATTCATCAATGTCTTGTAACTTCGACTAGACATCATTTATTATTTTTTAATATAAACTCGAGAAACTTAATAATAATTGCTGCGATTTTAACGAGTTGATTATCGTAACCCTCTATTAATATTAATTAAGAATTAAATTTTCAATACGATGTTTCAGTAGATATACATTATTAATATTATTTTTAATGATACTTAGAACGATTCTATTGTTACGAATATATGCGCGAATTATTGACAAACCGAGCCGCTAACTGGTCTTTTCGCCAAAGGTTTACGTAATCGCGATTACGCGCGCGTCCTTGCGAGCGTATCCGAGCTGGTCACGCGACTCGTCTCGCCATTGCTTCGAGAATTTTCAACACGCTCGTCCTGGACTCGGGTAACGCTTCAGCATGAAAAAAACCGGTTCCTTCGGCTTCGCTCGAAAGTCGAAGCTGTGCCGTGAAATGTATCGCCGATTCAGGATTCCCATTTTTGAACTTCCTGCGCCCTGACGCGATCACCGGTTCTTTTCTCCCTTCCGCTTCGTTCTCTGCTCGTTCCTTTTTTCATTCATTAAAATTTTGCGCACAGGAAAATACTAACGGTAAATAATATATTTAATGGCACTGAATGGCACAAATAAGATATGTCTCCGAATGAGTTCACTTGGTATGTTAAGGGTTAACCAGCGATGCAATTCCCTTGAATCTCTACTTGAATTGTAATATTTCATTTAATTTCCTGAAATATAATCCTGGAACCACAAAGAAAATGGCACTTTTTAACCAACAATGCTAAGTTCTCTAAATTCCCAAATCACAAGAAGAAAGGTATCTTCTGAAGATAGCCTTCCACATTTCTACATTCCTCTCGAATCGCAAAGAAAATGGCCCTCCTTGAACCAGAAACGCCCCTTCATATCCCAAAATCTCAACCCAAATCACGAGAAGAGATTCTTCTCCAATCAGCAAGCCAACATCCTCCTCGAATACAAAGAACAACTTTCCATCGGTTACTTTGTATGCCACACGTTTCTACCTACTTTGCGAGAGAAACCAAAATTTCACGCAGGTCGGAGGGATCGAAAAACGTCGAAAAAGGCGAGAAACATAGCGGTGGACGATCGATATCCCGACATCCTGGCCCACGCGTGAAATCAATGCCTGTTGGCGCCGCTGAGGGCCGGTCACCATATTGTGACTCGCTAGAAATTAAAAGAAACTCAGTATCCGTGATAAGATTAATATCTTTAATAGAAAATAAATTATCAAAATATTCTGAAGATATCGAAAAAAAAAGGATCTGGGTATCGGTAGTGCAGGAAGAATCTAAAGAAACGAATGATTTCAGTTGCGGAGGTCGCGTTCCATGGTCGCCATGTTGACGGAATGCGGCCGAGATTCCTGCATAAATTTCCGACCACTCTTCGGAAACGATCGATGATCGATCATACCGATGCAACCGGTCGATATCGATGTCTTCATGACACTATGAGTGTCCCATTA